TCAACGAAGCGCGTTAAAATGCAAATATTTTTTTTAGAAAGTTATTAACGAGCTACTTGCAATTAATACGTAAAAGTATTGAAAGAATGATGATATAACATAGTTGAATGTATCACGTAATGGCTATAATATCTATATTATTAAATGTGAAAATAAATATCAGAGTGAATTTAAAAAGATCATGAAATTGTGTGAATGCTAAGTGGAAAATTAATTCGTTCACCATAATTTTCTGCAAAACATTGTTACCACCGTTCGCCGTATAAGTATATAAATTAATTGAACTATACGTCTTTATGATGCGTCGGAGAAGCCAACGCAAGGTTGTCTGCGAACAACTACATGAATATCTCCATCAGACTTGCACCGTCACGTCTAAAGCGCATCGTCGTCGTATTTCCACGAGATCAACGACGAGAGTACGAGAGTACGAGAGTACGAGAGACGAAGGGGGCCGGAGAAATAGAGGGAAAGAGAGACGTCGAGGCCCGCGTCGCAAGGCCCGGGACATGAATAAGCCAACGGGCAAAGGTGTGGTTCCCAGGCGTCCGCGGTAGGAAATCGCTCACTGGGGAAGAAAGATGGAGAACAGAAGCCAGGAGCGAACCAAGACGTGATTAATATAAAAGTGGGCGGAGCCTGGCCTGGCCGGAAGTGGCCGAAGAGGGATGCTGTGCCGTGCCAAGCAAGCGCGAAAACGGGGGGGCTATGCCGCCGCAGCTGTGCTGGCTCTCGTTGCACTCCGTATCCGTGTGATATGCATCGTGGATGTGTGCAACCGCGCGCGTACTCGGCACGTACGTCTGAACTGCCGGCGGAGGAGGTGAGAAAATGGGCGAAGCCAAGGTGGCGGGGATGATGCGAAATATATATCACGATTGACGCGCACACCACTCTCTTCCCCGCGGTGGTCGGTGCCTGATCGTTCCGACGCGACCATGAAGAAGGCGTGACACCCCAGGCCGGGTGTCATCAGCCGGGAAGAGCCACGCTCTCGATTCTCCAAGATGCCAATATCGCGCACACAAAACACTACGACACAGAATCGATCAACCGGCTGCGTACAAACGCAGCGGAGAACACGCAGCGATTTTGATCGCAGTTCGTCCGTCGGACGCTCGCCTCGCCTCGGCGACCGAACTGCCGCTTCTCTCTCCGTCTCCACTCCGTCTGTCTCCTGCGCTCGCCAGGCTGATCTTTGAATTTTGAAGAAATCGACGGTCACCCGAAGGAAAGCCAGACAACCAGATGGCCGCGCCGAGCAACCCTCCGTTGGTAGAAGGTGACAAAGAACGGGATGGTTCGGCTGATTGGCGAATGTGGGATCGAAGAGATCCGGGGGGGGCATACCAAGCTTTCGGAGACGCGGGGTGTAAGGGTTGACGCGCGGGGGTGGCCAACCCCACCTACTTCTTTAACGCCCCCAAGCAGAGTAGGACCGCCTCCGTCTCTGGTGTTCCACCTACTACACCACCCGGGACTTCTACAGTCTCGTAGACGAGCCACCCACACAAAGCCGCGACTGGGAGCACCCGACTATCTCTATCGGCTATACACTTCTAAAAAAATCATCCCTATTCCCAGGTAACACGGAGCGTTCTCCGATTGAAGCGTAACTGCCGTCACCCTCCATCTCACCCTTTCGATTGCGCGACGATGCCATCTCTGATGTTTCGTCCGTAGGGGTGAAAGGATTCCACTGTTAAATTCAAAGGACCATTGTCATTGTAAATTCAAGTTCATTTTGCAAATGTTTCACGTTTTTTACAAAAGCTGCGTCGACATTAGTATCACAATTAAACCGATTGTACCGATAAAAAGCATATTAAAGTAAGAGAATTATTTATACGTAAGACTTTGTGTCAAAGGAGAATAATATCTTTTTTTTAAACTGCTTCAATGTACTATATTCTAGAAATCTGTATTTAAAAAGTGATATAATGGAAATATATAACATCATTTTCCATGTTTTGAAATTGCATGCGAATTATTAATCTTATAAGCTCAAAACTTCATATTTATATTTTTAAGAATAGTTTTTAAAGTCAAGTTTAAAGTTATTAATTTCTGACATAATATTTAAAAAATAAAAGCAACGTATTCCTTACTGAAAACAAATTCAACACGATTTGTACACAATTCGCAGTACACTCAGGTGTAGATTTTAATGCGTGTATTGTTTAGGTGGATTGTTTTGTTGCTAATTTTATAATATTAATAAATTAATGTATTATTAATAAATTTCGTAATATTAATAAATTTGCTGCTAACTTATAAACGGATTTATAACGGAGATTATAAAGGGCGATTGTTATACTTCGGCGTAGTCAACATTACAAAGCAGTTCGAGCAAAATTCACAAACGTGAATAATGATCATTGATTTCTCCATTTGATCGTTTTGTTTGAAGTTACTCGCGTGGTAGCAAAAGCTACGGTGAACATTATGTAGGCATGACAGACGATGAAACACAAAATAAGAATTTTTGTCAGATTGTTAGAAATGTTTCGAAACAAGAGGAAGTTGGACTTCCTCAGCCAATGGCACGATGATTCATACGATGTTAGATTACTCTGAGACTCCAGGCAGCTTCAAAGGCGGCGCACCTCTGCCAAGATTATTTTCGGAAAAATGTGCTTTACACCGCAAAGATTTCTGTACTTCGCGGCAGGTACGTATTTAGTAACCCGAATGTAGTTAATCTTAGGTCGGTATAGTGAGATTTATTTGACCAACCATTCTGGTTGTCCGGCGCACCTATTTGTCTTGTCACGATCGTTAAAGTGTCATTTCCACGAATATCACCCTAGCCAGTAGAGTGCAGGATCAATCAGGAATCTCGGGGTAAAGAAACATTTGTCTGTATTAACGAAAATCGTATTTAATTTGTTTAACATTATGAGAGGCGCGCTAAAATTTAAATCATTTCGTCTTGGCAACTTGCTGGCGATAACGCGATAACGTTTCTATTTCCGCATCCACAATTTTGGCAACACATATTGCTTATCCACTAATTACGAAAAGATTAAAGGAATCATCGGTAAATAATATTTATATGCAATTTCTAAACCGTCGGATGTGACAGTGATTAAATAAGAAGCAGCAGGTATCGTTGAAACGTAAATGTGCGTTTCTTGATAATGATCGATCAGTTCGAAATTTGTATCATACCATAATTTCCATTTACGTCCTTTCTATTTTTGCCACGACTTAAATTCGATTAAAGTAAATCGCGCGAAATATTCGTCGATCTTGCGCACCGTCCGCACTCTTATGTTTCTATTTAATTCCGATATCTATATTTACAACGTAATTTATGAGATTAATAGCGACAAAATTGTACCACGCGCTGGATGTTCTAAGCTTAGCGACAATTTCGAACTTCAAAATACACAGCGATAACGTAAATCCTAAAATGTGTACGAAAGAATAAAAATATAGCTCTATTAAATAGTGATAACAGTTTTAAACAAACTAATCAAATTAATATTATTACGACAAGAAATCGTGATCTACGTCAACAATAGAATGTATAAAGCAGGAGAGACAAAAAGAGAGTGAAAAGAGAGAAAAAGTCAAACGTCAAATGTACATTTATATTATATAATATGTGTGCATTAACAAATTATACATAAAGAAATGTTACGATTTTGAATCGGTGATAAAAAGGAATGACAAAAAGCTACTCAAATTTGGAGATACATTCAAAATAAAAAGATATCTAACAAAAATAAAATCCATTTCGATTAATTAATCTATTTCCCGGAATAAATTAATGAATTATATCATGACGAAAAAGTAAATAAATCACGCGAGCAAAACTTTAAAGATAGCGATAAAGAGTAAATAGTTGTACCGCGAAAACGAGCGTTAAACGAACGAAGTGTTTAAAAGGAGTACTCCAAATTCCAGTAGCAGCATGCGAGAAAGAGACCGCCGGTGGCACGTGGCTGTCACCAGTGTCTGCAGCGCGATGCAAAGAGCGTCAGAAACGTACGAAGTTGATGACAAAAAAATGATACAACTAGCAAAGAAAGCAAACGATTGAGTAGAGAATAAAAGACAGAAAAAGCAAGATAGATAAAACACGAGAGAGAGAGAGAGAGAGAGAGAGAGAGAGAGAGAGGTGAAAACAGTAGAGGATATTTATGTGACGTAAGTGCATTATATGAACAAACGTTCGCGCAGGCAGGCAGTTCAATCAGACATCGGATGACATAGACAGTGCACTGGAGAAGTATTGCAGGGGTGAATAAGGCTACCTGGACGGGTCTCCAGCGTGGTTCCAGCATGTCCCGCTTCCTCCTCGTCGAGTCACTCGTGGTCGTCGGATCCTCCGTCCTTCTTTACGTGAGAGGATTGATAGAAAAAAACGGAAGAAAGATACGAGGCTCCTTCTGGCTTCCTTTGGTGATTTCCTCTATCCGTCGGGACGCAGGCTCTTCGTGTTCTCCGTTTTTTTTCGTCTCTACCCTTTTTCTTCCCGCCCGCCCCCTTTCAATCTCTGTCACCTCTACTCCTTTGCCGTCTTTCTTCTCCCTCTGTAACCACTCTGTATGTTTCTCTCTCTCTCTCTCTCTTTCTCTCTCTCTCTCTCTCTCTCTCTCTCTCTTTCCCTCTTTTGCTCTCTTCACCCCTCTTTGTCTTCTTCTCGCGTTTTTTCGATATTTTTTTAGAGCACGCGCTTATTATCTATTCACCTAACTGTCTACCTATCTATCTGTCTTTTTCTCGAAGCACCGCGTGCCGCGCGCGCCACGTGCACCGCCGCGATGTTAAAAGAACGATGCCGGATCGGACGTCGCCGTTGCCCCGATGAAAGGAGGCAACCGATTCCCGAAGACGCCGACGGCGACGCCGCTCTCTTTCTCCCTCTCTCTCTCTCTCTCTCTCTCTCTTTCCCTCCCTCCCTCTTTCTCTTTCTTTCTCTCTCTTCCTCCTTGTCTCTTTCTCTCTCTTTCTCTCTCTCTCTCTCTCTCCGGGGATGAATGCCGGAGGGGGGTGGCGGCGGGAAGCCGCGGAGGACGCCCTCTCTCTCGCAACCTGGGGCAACGTTCCCTCGCCGTCGTGGAGACAGGCAAAACGTGCGCCGAACGTAGCGGTGCAAGGTTGCGTGTACAGATTTGAAGAAAAGGGGGTATAACCGCGCGCCGGTGGCTGCCGTCGCGACTGTGCGACGCTCGGCACCGCTTAGCCGCGAAACCCTCCGGCCGTGGCGAGCACGCGGCTACTGAGTCGGCGCATTGCGAGGACCATCGGGTTGTCTCGCTTCCGTCGACGTCGCGCAGCGGCCGTGGCGGTGTCTCCCTCCGTTTGACGGCCACCTCCTCTTCGTCGCTCCATCACCGAGCGTCCTCGTCGCACGCGTTATCGCGGCACTCTCGCGGGGTGATCTTTTGTCTTTGTTCGAACGGTTCTCTCTCTCTCTCTCTCTCTCTCTCTCTCTCTCTCTCTCTCTCTCTCTCTCTCTTTGCTCCGGTGTAACGTGGGTGTTTCTCGGCTCTCCGGAGAGAGGCAGTCCCGTCGGCTGCGCCGCGACGCACTTTGGCGATCACCTGCCGTGCTGACCCACGTTGTGTTTTCCAATTTACATCGCACTTGATTTAATTCTCGATATTCGGTAACTTCCTCTGGGCCTATTTTTTTATTTTCGATAACGAGGAATTCCACCACGAGGTGATAATTATCAATAATGGAATAACTATTTTTAGAATTCCTCATTCCTTTTAAATAATTATAAACAAAATATTTAAAAAATTAAATTGTTTATTAAATGTTTATTTACCTTATGCAATGGAAAAAAATGATTTTGCTACATGAATGTAGGATTGCAAAATTTAATTGTTGAATTTGCTGTTTATAGCAAGTAAATTTGCATATTTGACAAATATTTTACATTTGTTGCAAGTAATTTTTAGTAGCGAATACAAAAAAAAATAAATATTTGTTATACTTGCAAATAATTTACAATTCCTATATTTGCAAATTAGAATTTGCCATTATGGCATAGGATTAATGTTTTTAGCAAAATCATTTTTCTTTCCGTATAAAATCTTTTTTAATTTTATATTAAAAAATTTAATTGCCGAAATAATCAAATATACATAGCGTGATAAATATAAATAGCATAATAAACATATATAAATGCACTCTAGTTAATAAAAAATTACGATGTTTTGAAACATCATATTACGGTAATTATGTTTTTATTTAAGAAAAGACTTTTGTTATAAAATTTGAATAATAAATACAATATTTATAAAGAATTTAAGTTCAATAAATTATCATTTGGCATATCTTTAACACGCATTGCATATTAAAATATGCTGTATCTAGGTGATTGACAAAGTCACATCATCATGAACGAATCTCCAACATCACATATGGTACTAGTATAGATATCCATGTAGTTATTGTTATCGATTCGACCTACTCCTAAGACCAGACTAAAGCCGACCTGTTCTGATGTATTCATCATGCTCAGCATAATTTCCTATTCTCCTGCTTGAGATGCCCTCGAATAATTTCGACGCGTCTTATTCGCTTCTTATTCGCAATGTAACCAAATATTAACCGACGTCATCCTAATACTGTTTGGTTCTTTCTATCTAAGATTTGCTATTGACAAAATATTAAAGCAGTTCGCATGATTCAATATATAAATTATTTATCTTGTTTGTCATGGAATCTGAACCATTACGTCATTATATTATTTACAGGATGCACGAAAAATATCTAAGTTCGTAACTTAGATATCAATTACATATTTTAATCATTGCTACTGTGTTTTTAAAAATCTATATCTATATGTAATTATTGTATAGGGTATTACATCGCGATTGTATGTTCGATTATCTGACAATGAGTATTCCAGTGTATAATCTACTGACAGCTAACTTAAAGTTTATGTTTAATCACAGCATTTTATTGTATGTCTTTTCTGATCTATAGTTGTTTCAAATGTTCCATCTTTGCAAGATTACATAAAATGGTAGGAAACTTTCATCGAGAGAACGTACAGCGAGTAAGATAGAAATTGTCAGGGCTATAAATCGGCACGATAACTGAAGATGGTCTGGTGACAATGTCGGAAAAGCAGGTCGCGGGTAGGTAGGTACGGACAGAGCGCGACAGACTTCATAGTGGTCTAGTTTGTTGTTGTTTGTTGTTGTTGTTCGCGTTGTTTCTCGCGACGGCACCGAACCATGGCACAATGCCGAGAGCGTGACGCTGGTATTGATAACAGACCCTCTCCGATGGAGAGAGGGAGAGATGCCGGGAATACCCGTGATTGAAGATACATACATACTACCCCATTTTCGCCACGAACAACTTGCACTTAGAGGATCGTATTGGAAACAGTGCGACGGTTTCTATACTGCGCGGCATCAATACACGTATCCATGCTTTATAGTACATCTCGCTAAATTCATTAACGATTGCTGTGAGAAAATGATTGTTACCTTTTTGCTGGCTGCCCATATTAAAGAGCTGCAAAGCATCTTCCTGAAAAAAAAAAAAAAAAAAAAAAAAAAATTT